AAAACCCAAACATGAAATATATAATTAAAGGAGGAACAGTTTCATCAACTGTTTTCAGATCGTTATAGTGATCGCGTTTTATTATTTATACTAATTATAATATGGCACGTGATTCATTGTCTGTGTGCCTCCTATATTTATTAATTATAGATTAGATGTGGTCAAACTTTATACAGTAACACTGTCAGTGGAGAAATTCTTTAAGGTTTAGGAAACATTTACCTAAAATTGCAAGCATCATAACTTTACACTATGATCTAATATATACAAATATAGTATTATATATAGTGCTTTTATGTCTGCGTACAGGCTGCTAACGCTATTCCAATGATCCACTTTGTTATTTATAATGTATATATATATTTATAAAAATGGAATATCTAGTGGAAATCTAAAGCACCAAATATGAGGGAAACAAACAGAATCTTCACTGGTTTATTTATAACTCGTTTCTTTTCTGTATGATAATTTAATTTAATTCACACAAAGTTAAACTATATATATATGTAGTACACTATGCAAATTGCAAGATGATGATTTGATAGTGGTCTCATGTCATGTCAATACCGATAAAAAGGACTTCAAATTGGTTAATCTTTTATCACAATTTATTTGAAACGGATTTCAGTAATATTCGAATCACGATCATAAAAATAATCATCATAGTATTTTGATTTGATGTATGAATATGACATATTATATACAGTATTAATTCACAGGTTAAATTGTGAATCTTGGTCTATCATCACTTTAATTATAAGCTATCCTTTGAGAGTGATTAGTTAGATCGTTCATTTTTAATTAAATTATAATGTTCACATTCGAGAAAATTAAAGTGTACATCAATATATGCATATACTAGCTCACTAGAAAATATTGAGCATTCAAATTAACTTCTAAGAATATAAAAAATCAATTCATTATAACATCTTTATATATATAAACACCATATGCTTTTTTTTAGTCGTAAGCAAAAAAAAAAAGAAAGATATACCTTACCCTTATAAATAATATAGTAATAATATAATAATACTCCAAGACTTTATAATAACATAATCTCAATTACTTGGCTGTCAAACGAATCATATGCATACAGCTGGTTACTAATTAGGGCTAATTAATTAAAGGTAGTCTATGTGATTTGATTAGCCGCCAGATTACTGTACATGTCAAGGTTAGGTGTCTAGTAAAGATTTTTTTTTTTAATTTTGTAGTTTTAAATTAGAATATATATTGATTATCAAAATATTCATGTTATTTTATATGTGGAATAATTAAAGAGTTGTTAATTAAATTAGAAAGATGCGTTATTTTAAAAAATTAAAAAGAAAAATAAGATAAAAATAAATTAATAAGAGAAAGTAATATACTTAAACTTAACCTTTTAATTTTAAAAATAGAATATGTGAAATTCGTAATTTTTTTAATAGTAAATTAGATATTTGATGTATATATTTTAAAAAAATTAATATAATATTATTTGGTAACATCATTTTCTACACTTACTTAGACGTTTGAGTTACTTATTTTCAAATATCGATTCTCTTTACTACATTATTCCCGCCTATGTTATCACATGAATTACAATAAATTGTTTTTTTTTAATGAGTTAATTCTTTTTTCAATTTCGATCAACTTTAATATTTTTTAAATAGTTTAAATTTTTTGATATCACATCATTTTAATTTATTTAAATGGCAAGTTAAATTTTAAGATTTGAATTTTAAAACTCTTCAATGATGTATTTTAGTGGACCTCAACTCAAATATTTCTCTAAACAATACTCTTTAAATTTTAATTAAATTTATAGTGTAATAATCTTTCCACTGTACCAATTGGTTCTGATTAGGACCTAAACTCCAAAGCTAAACTATGAACATTGTCAACAACATTTAACCTCTTCTACTGTGACTAAAAAATGTTTGTGGTATAGTAATGAGACTGTTTTATCATTAATTAGAAGTTTTGGATTCAAGCTCTGGGTACGAAGAAAAATCTATTGAGAGACTCACCCCAAACGAGTCATGTAATACACGATGTGAATTTTGTTAGAACTCCAATGTGAACTCCCTGACATAATATGGAAAATAATACTAATAATAACCAAAGGTGCTTCTTCCATAACCAATCAAACCCAGTGGAAAGGCCTGATCTTTTAGTTCTTCAAATTGAATTATAGTAACACCCATTTGCAGAATACTGCAAAGAAATGAATTTTTTTTTTTATGATACGATTGAAGATTTGGCTTGGTGGGTCTCGATGGAATCATCAAGAAAGAAGATGGATTTTCTAGAGAAGTGAAAAAAAATTGTGAACTTCACTGGTTGAACGACCAAAGTATCTATTTTTTATGAGATAAATCTCACGAGATAATTTTATAAATATATAATATATATCAATTTGGAAAAATTACGCGAAAAAACAAACATGTTGTCCTCTTTTACAAACATAGCCTCTCTCTGCTCTTTCACCTTTCTCGCTTGTCTCTCTTCCAAACGCGTTCGCCTCTCTTCTTCCCTCTCCCAATTTCTCTGTCGGATGTACAAATACATATGTATATCAGCTATACATATACAATTATCTAATAGATATACATATTTCGTTCGCCTCGCTCCACTTTCTGCCCTCTCTAGCTTGCCTCTTCCAATCTCTATCGTCTCTCTCCTCCCTCCTCCCTCTCCCTATATCGCTAGCATATATACAAATATATATATGTATATTAGTTACGTATATACAATTATTTGACATGTATATATATATAATTCGACAAATACACATATACAATTTCGCCTCTCTCCTCCCTATCCAACCACGCTCATCACTCTACTCCCTATAACATACAACTATGAATCGTAATTAGCAAATTATAGCTATGAAGTGTAATTAAACTATTCTTGAATGACTATATATGAAATTTCTCCTATATTTATCATATTTTTGACACAAAATTTATAAAAATAAAGAAGAATGTTAACTTTTTACTTAAAATTAAAGTCATTTACATTTCTGATGTCACCATAAAATTAAGCACTTAAAAGAATCTTTAAGTACTCAATTTGTCTACCATCGCTCCATTAAGGGGTGTATTTACTATACAAAATATCACAGGGGACTCAATTTAATTGGGGTCCAAGACGAAATTTAATTTAATGCTTAAAATACAAACAAATTTTATATAAATATTTATTCAAAAAAAGAATTTTCTTATATATAAATCTTAGTATTTAATATTATTTTTTCAGTTATTAGTCCCAACAAAATTTTATCAAGTCAATGTTAAAAAACATTTTTTTAGTGACACAATTATTATATGAATTATTAGCATAATTTTATAAGTAATAAGCTGACAAATTTTAAATAAAGATAAGTGATCATCAAATCTGATTCAAGAACTTGATGACTTTGTATACCCTACCCTACTTTCATATGCTTATTGTAATGCTTGAAACTAAAATTTTGAAAGAAATTTTTAAAAATATAGTAATTCACTTGTTAAACAATTTTCACTATTAATTCATATTTTCAATAAAGTAGAAAAGACGTTAAAAAAGATAAAATAATATATATCTTTTTTATTTTATTTTTTATGATAAATAATCATTTTTAAAAGGGGAACTTTCACATATAGTAAACAAAAAGTTCATATTTGTATGCTATAACAAAGTTTGCATAATTGCGCTCCACAACAAACATATAACTGTATAATTCGCTATACATATACAAATGTATGATTCGCTGGCCTAAATTTGTATAATTCGCTGACATATTTCACTGCAATATGTGTATAAAATTTGTTTTGCATACAATTTAATCGAAGTAAAATGTCTATATATTGTATAATTATAAGTGTATATGAAGAAGATATATGTTTTCTCTCGCTTTATACAAAAACAGATACACATTTTATACACTTCTGTCGTATAAAGCGAGAGAAAATTGTATTGCACTTCAATTGTATAATTCGCTGGTCTTTTCCGCTGCAATATTTGTATAAAATTTGCATTTGTATACAATTGAATCGAATTAAAATGTTTGTAAATTGTATAATTAAGTGTATAACACGAAGATATATGATTTTGCATGTGTATATACAATTTTCTCTCGCTTTATACAAAATAGAAACACAATTTATACACTTCTGTTGTATAAAGCGAGAGAGGTGAGTAGAGGGAGAGTGGCGAGCGAGAGTTTTGGGAGAGAGGTGACTGACAAACTTTGGCAAACGTTTGCTATTGGGCACAATTAAATTAAACAGTAGCTACTCTATTTATTTTAGGTTATTAATTTGCTATTTTATATAATTATCCTTTTTCAAAATTCAGGATCCAAAAAATAACTTAATTATGTTTTATAACTATAGTTTGCTAATTATAATTCGTAGTTACATGTTATAAGAAAGAGAGTGGCAAGCAAAATTGGGAGAGGGAGGAGAGAGACGAGCGAGAAAGGCCGAGAGTGGAGAGAGGCGAATTGTATATGTATATTTGTCAAATTGTATATGTATATTTTCAAATAATTGTATGTACACAACTACTATACATATGTATTTGTATATTTCGCAAGCGAGATTGAGAGAGAGAGGATGGATGTGATCAAGATTGGGAGAGGGAGGGGAGAGAGGGTAGAGAGTGGAAAAAGGGAAAAAATTAACATATCAGTTCATTAGTTAATGTAGCTATAGTATGAATAATTACGGTTCACAACTTAATTTTAGCTTTAATTACGTCACTTGCCCTCTTGTATACATATACAAATACAAATTATATGCATATATATATATATATATTTATATATGACACATACAAATACAACGAGCCTCTCTCCACTCTCTCGCCTTTCTCGGCCGCCTCTCTTTTCACTCTTTTTATCTCGCTAGTCTCTCTCCTCCCTTCCCCAATCTCTCTCAAAAGATATTCAAATGTGTGCGTGTATATATAGATATATATATGTGTTATCAAACTTTACAAAATACCCCTAATTTATACATTCCCCAAATTTCAGTTAAAATTACCCGTCTCCCCTTTTGACCCGACCCTAACCCACTAATTTAACCCATACCAATTAAACCCCAATACAATTTTTTCCGACTGATAGATTCAACAGTCAAAGAAGTTGAAGCTGATGAAGGTTTAGGATCTCGAAGATCACAAATTCATAGATGGAAGAAACTGCCGGAGAAATTTTATTTGAGACACGACATCATGCTTCTAGCCCATATATTTCCAATTATCCTCCAAATCATCAACAGGTTTTACACTGATTTCAATTTTGTCTTTCTTTTGATGAATCTTTCTTAATTTATCCTCAATTGCTTACATTCTTGTGTTTGGTGTAGTTGAATCAAGACGCCAAAGGCAGTTATCTTTCAAGATTGCTTTCTTCCTCAGGTACATTCAGTTTTTGTTGAATTGGGCATTTGGTGAAGTTACTACAACTTAATTGACTGAATTTTGTTTAAACTGATTTTTTATTCCACATTATTTTGTTGCTGTTATTAACTGTTATGCTTTCTACATTGCTTTTACTTGGGTTTGATGCGCTTGAGCTGAGGGGTCTCCCTACAATTTACCCTCTCCATACCCCACTTAGTGGGTTTCACTGGGTATGTTGTAAATTTAGAAACTTTTATGTTGATAGATGAGAAAGGACTGCCTTCTTTAGTTTCTTTTTCTTTGATGTGATTTAAATGCAAGTTCTTTTCTTTTGTTATACGAATGTGACCTTATTCATTAGTGAGGTTCTTCACCGATGAGCTTCTTTTTCTTCTTTTGCATTTTGTTTTGGTTTCAGTCTCATTAGATTGGAGGCATTGTGTTGAAGGGGTTCACATTAGTTTGCATAAGAAACAATCAGTTATTTCTTTCAGTATTGAATTCACATGAAATTTAGGCAATTTATCCCTCAAGTTAAACTATCTGTGGTTCACTAGTGTAGAAATTCACGAGAAGAAAGAATAGGTTATTATATTAAACTTTGATAGAGAATAGATTGAATTTTTAGACTCAGCTGGACTATGCCACACAGTATCAGAGAAACCTATGAATGCTGGTCTCAAATGAAAGTTGACAAATCCATCAGGAAAGTCAGGGAGATGATTCCTGCCTGTATATTTGGTGTGTCTGGACAGAGAGGAACGGAATCACAGATGCTTTGATTGGTTTTCAACTCCTCGCCACACTCTTAAAGCTAGATGTCTTTTATGGTTATAGTAGTTGGAAAAATCTATCGAAGCACTTTTTGTACCAAGCTGACTTCTCATTCCCCGTTTTGTACTTATTGCATCTTCTTGATTCCTATTATATAAAATTTCTTACTTCATCTAAAAAAGAAGAATAGATTGAATTAATAGGGTGAAAAGAGGTACATTATCTAGTTGAGAAACAATAGTATTTAAGTTACGATCTTCATAAAAAAAGTATCTAAATTACCATTAGATAGATAGTGGTAGTTTAAAATTCTTGAAGGATAAGAAGTTTTGCTTTTATGGAAATGAACCAAGGAAATTAGAAGAAAATACGATGTAAAAAGAAATTAGGTCAAGCAACTTTATATGTAGAGAGTATTTGTTTTACTTCACTTGTTGTTCAGACCTTTTAGTTAAAAGTATCAATTTTTGTCATGTATGAAGGTATATCCCAGCTCAAGGAGAAATGGAGAAAGCATGGGCATCCAGCAAAAGTAAGGAGATATGCATCCTTGTTTGTTTCCCCAAGAGGTGATCTTGTGGCTGTAGCATCTGGGAATCAGATAACAATCCTGCAGAAGGATGGTGACTACCAAAAACCTTGTGGAATATTTATCTGTAAGTTTCAGGAACCTAAAACAGAAGGAACAAACGATTGTGGCATAAGTCAAGAATAGGGCAACTATTTTAACATGTCAAAGGTCTTCTTTGTTTTTAATGTATGAAAGCTGCCTTCCTGCCTGCCGGTTGTCAGTGTTTTTCTTGTTCTTTTGATCCTAGTTGGTCGTTGAACCAAAATTATTTATTATTGCTAAACTTATCTATTATTTACTGCCTCTGTACATCTAGGCAAAAGCATTACTTCATTCCATTGTGGGGCTTGGTCTGAAACTCATGACGTTCTTGGTGTTGCTGACGATAGTGACACAATCTATCTCATCAGAGCTAATGGTGAGGAAATTACCAGAATTTCCAAGGGTCATATAAAAAGCTCTTCACCAATTGTTGGCCTGATGGTGCAGGATGATGCTGATTTGAAGAAATCTTGCTTGTAAGTTCAATTATTTGTGGAGGTTTCTTCTCTCTCATATTTTTCATCTTATTTACTTAGCTTGTACATCTATTTTTGGTGGATAACTCTTTTTCAGGTGTACCTTCACTATAATTACAGCAGATGGGTTGATTCATGACATTGAGATCAGTCAAGATCCAAGTGCATCTGTTTTCTCCCCCCTTGCCTCGAGCAGTGGGACGATGCTGAAGAAATTTCCACAGGATACGATCTGCCTGGATTACCAGCCAGAAATGAGCTTATTTTCCATAGTTAGCAGTGCTGGCGGTTTACAGCTAACTACTAATGGTAGCTCAAAGTCTCTTAATATATCTGAACATATTTATGAATTGGTTCTTAATTTCATTTTAGCAGACACTTCGAATTGATGCAAGTTACCCATTACTTTTCTTTATCATTGATATTATTTATTTTCTAGGATTATACAGTCTTTCTCTTTGCCGGAAAAGGGGAAACTTAGCCTTGGAAGTTGTCGTTTCTACTCAGTTTGAGGGTATCTATTCTATCCCGAAAGATTATGTCGGTCATATAACTTCCTCTAAGGTGTCAATATCACCACAGGGAAGATTTGTCGCTACTCTTGATATGGGAGGATCTTTGAATACCTTTAAGTTTGATGAGGAACAACGTTCTCTCTCAAAATGTTCTTATGGAGAGGGAAATGAATTACATCAGGGAAATAAGCAGTCAAATAAGGGGAACATTCTCGTGAATGGGGTTACAGATTTTGCCTGGTGGTCTGATGGTATACTCGCCGTTGCAGAAAGGAATGGCAACGTCACTATGATTAATATATGTACCGGTGCTAAGCTATGTAAGAAGGATGAGACTATGTATTCATTGCCCCTTTTAGAGAGAGTGCCACAGTTGTCGGGAAAGCTTTTTCTACTGGAGACAAAACCATCCATTCAGAACAATGGGTCGACTAAAGAAATTAGAGCAAGTAACTTTCAGCTCATGGAGTGTGATTATGGTGATATGAATAATAAGTTTGACTGGGCGAATTTCCGATGGAGCTTAGTTTCATTTTCTGAACGATCCATTTCTGAAATGTATGATATATTTATCTCCAGACAAGAGTATCAGGCTGCTCTCATGTTTTCCGATCAGCATGGGCTAGATAAAGACGAAGCTCTAAAGGCACAGTGGTTGCACTGCTCCCAGGGTGTAAATGAGATAAATACACTACTTTCAAATATCAAGGATCAAGTTTTCGTACTTTCTGAATGTGTAGGTCGATTTGGACCAACTGAAGACGCAGTTAGAGCTTTGCTTGATCTTGGTCTTCGCATAACTGACCGTTACAGATTTTCTGAGCCTGAGGTTGATGATCATAGTAAGGTGTGGGATTGTCTTGTGGCAAGACTTAAATTGTTGCAATACAGAGACCGGATAGAGACATTTCTTGGGATAAACATGGGCAGGTGATAATATTATTGTTCCCTGTTCTTTTTCTTCTTCGATTGTGAATGATTTTTGTACTGGATTCATAAGGTTTATATTGAAAGACTGATTGGAATGTTGTGATGCTCACAAGCAGGCTTGTTGTTATTACAAAGCAAACATTTTCTGTTCTTTATTATTGTCTATGAAGCTTCTAAACTAATTAGAATTTTTGGAAGTGTCGACAAAAGATGAAAACTTCAAAATTGGGATGAGGTTCCTATACTACCATGTCGCCTTTGACTTCCACATTTAACTTAATTTTGTGGTTGAGATGAGTGATGACAAGTTTTCATTTTGAAACTGAAGCATAAACTTCTTCTAGGGGCTTAAAGTGGCTTGTCGCTCAATGACCCAACAGTGAAATTGTATGTTCTTTTTCTTTTGTTTAATTTTGTTCTTTTCCTATATTTCATTAGGTGTGCTTCTTATCCTGTCTTTGTTATTGGTTCTACTGATTCTGAAACAAGGACAAATCATCATGCTTTTAAATAAAGTAGTACTCGAATGGTTTCTACTGACTTGAAACTTAATGACTTAGCATTTTGCAGGTTTTCTTTACAGGAGTACAAGAAATTTTGTAGTTTGCCCATTAAAGAAGCTGCAATTGCACTTGCAGAAAGTGACAAGATTGGGGCATTAAATCTTCTCTTTAAGCGTCATCCTTACTCGTTAACTTCCTCGTTGTTGGATGTCTTAGCTGCCATCCCTGAGACTGTTCCGGTGCAGACTTATGGACAGCTCCTTCCTGGGAGTTCCCCTCCTCCAAGTATTTCTTTGAGGGAAGAAGATTGGGTTGAGTGCGATGAGATGGTAACTTTTGTTATCAGCAGAGTACCTGAGAGTCATGAGAGCTATACTCAGATCAGAACTGAGCCAATTGTAAAACAATTTATGGGGTCTCAATGGCCTTCAGTAAGTGAACTCTCGTCTTGGTACAAAAAGAGAGCCAGAGATATTGATTCCCTAAGTGGGCAACTTGATAACTCCATGTGCTTGATTGACTTTGCTTGTCGCAAAGGCATTTTTCAATTGCAGCCTTTCCTAGAGGATATTTCTTACTTACACCAGCTAATCTATTCTGAGGAGAATGAAGAAATGAATTTCTCCATGAGTCTTACTAGATGGGAAAGCTTACCTGATTATGAAAAATTTAAATTGATGGTGATTGGGGTCAGAGAAGATACTGTTATTAAAAGACTACATACTAAAGCAATTCCATTCATGAAAAAGAGGTTTCACTCTTTGACTGTGCCTTCCAGAGATGAAAAAACAGATTACTCAGCTGAGTCATTTCTGGTCAGATGGCTGAAGGAGATCGCCTCTGAGAATAAATTGGAGATGTGTTCAGTTGTAATTGAAGAGGGTAGCAGAGAGGCCCAGAATAATAACCTTTTCCATAATGAGGCTGAGGTTGTAGATTGTGCTCTTCAGTGCATATACGCTTGCTCTGGTACAGATAGGTGGAGTACGATGGCCTCCATTTTGTCTAAACTTCCATTTTCCACGTGGTAAGCCTTTGACAAAATGCTATAATCCTGTCATTACCAACCCCCCCCCCCCCCCCCCAAACCTTGAGAACAAAGAAATTCCTGCTTTTTCTTCTTGTGATTTACTATCTTAGCAACCTGTGGCGGTTTTGCTAAGCTTCCACCTTCTCTTCTTTCTCTCTCTTCTCTCCTCTGCTAGTGTGGAGCTAAAAGTTGATTAAATATTAGTCTTAAGATTTCTTTGAAATTAGTTCTTGATATATGTAATTTAAATTTAATGATGGATATTCCATGTATTCTCATCTATGCTTTTCTTTTTTGGGTCATATAAGTAAAAATATGTCACAGGCTTGCATGAAATGAATAGAATTCCAAAAATTAGTTGATTTTTACTTGTGTTTGATTCAACATTTTTATTAAATTTTTGAAGTTTGATTGCTTATTGACTTTTCCCCTTATTCTCCTTTTCCTTTTTCGCCCTCTCTTTTTAGGGAGGGGTTGAAGTTGCCATTTGCCTATTTATAATTTGTGGTTCGGATAAAAACTGTTGTTAAATGCTTGGCATAGCTGGTAATTTAATACTATCATAGTCGTATTGGTTCCACACTAGTTTGTTTCTCGTCTCACATATCTCTTTCTTTGTATTTTCAATGTCAGACCGCTTGTGACTGACATCAAATGAGTAGCTGAGTAATTGAACATTCTTATTTAACTTTTACTTAAGTCACAACTAATCTTTTTCCTTAGAAGTGGTAACTTACAGAAAAAGATAAGAAATAATTGTTCAAATTGTGGTTTAACAGATTCTGAAGCGGCGAGTCTCAAGGAAAGGTTGAGACTCACAGAAGGTCATATTGAAGCAGGAAGAATATTGGCGCTTTACCAGGTTAGGTTTTACCTTTGTATGTAGTAATCATGTATAACCCAGATTTTCTTTCTCTTAGCCCCCACAGGATACTGCTGTTTCCGTCTAGGCTAAGTTCCGCAATCTAGTGTTTTCGTGATCCAAATTGTCATCAGGCATCTGTTGGATCTTAATAGTACTCCCTGGAACTTCTTTTGTCATATTGATTCACAGGACGTGTTCTCTCACTATATGGGGTGATTGTCTGTACTTCCTCATTTCCAAAAAAATTGCTGCTTACAATCCTTTTTATGGTTTAACAACCATAATTACCCAGGCCTGGGTGCATCTTTGAATTGTTTAAAGCATATGCTAAATTGGTCTTAACTTCCACTGCTATTGCCAAACTTTAAATCACAATGGTCAAGATTCTGATGTTTTTTTTTCTTCCCAACCAATTGTGGTGCCATAAAGACGCTGGCTTTACTACTTTATATATATGCATCTAGTTTCTTGGTGTATGCTTTGTATGTGTATATTTTTGAAACTGTGTTGCACGTGGATATCAAGTGGTGTAGTATAGAGTTCTGTAAAATAATATTCACTATGTACCGATTCTTACCCTTTTAGTTTCTCCTAAAAGAATGCCACTTTTTTAATTTAAAATAATGTACCATGAAAATTCTCATTTTGTTCTCAATGAGATGACTTATAGCCACATTTTATCTAAGTCTCATTTTAGGCTACAAATTTCAAATGTATTTTTGTCTTTCTGATACTCCGTGTCGAGAATCTTAAGCCTCAATTTCTGCTTGTCCAATAGACGAATATTAAAAACATACTAGAGATTATACATCAGGTTAGTTCAAGAATCATTTGGTTTGTGTAAAACACAAGCTCACCTTGATTTGTCCAAAATCACTCACCAAATATTGCTATTTAATTATACAAGCTTATTTAATTGCACTTATTAGTATGTTGTTCTAGTTACCTGCAACAGCCTTCTCTTTTCGAACTACTATTTCATAGGCATGATTTTTTTTTTAGACACTTTAAATTTGCCTTTTACAGACAAATCTGTGGAAGTTGCAATATCAAATGAAGCCCTTCACATTAATTTTCCGTTAGTTACGGACCAAATAGCTGCATCTCAAGTCATCTTATAAATCTAGTTGTCCAATTGTTTAAGAAAACTTGTCAAAATGAAAAAATACTGTTTACACACTGAAGGACATACAAAGCACTGTTATGAACACTGATTTTTGCGAAGGGAAACAATGGAATATAAAAACCAGCAGGTGGACAAACATAAAAGCAAAAGTTACCTAATATCCGATAAGCTTCATATCAAAAACCTCCTCGTTGTTGTACAAAATGTCAATGATGAGTTCCACGTGACGACTGATTTGCTGTGTGCACAATAAAATTTTCATATTTATGAAGTTCCAATTTATTTTTTTAATCTTTAAAAAGTACTGTATTAAATATCCAGCAACCAGAAGGTGTTGTGAGGAATTTACCAGGGGTAGCAACATTGTATATTGGTAATGAGCTCAAAAAATTTATCATGACCTCAATATCAATCATCTTGGCATCGACAAACAAGTGATGACGAGTCTCACTTATCACATGTACTCAAGTTTTTCATGTATAATTATCTAATCAAAGCATTAATTTTGTATATTGGTGTTACTTTACAAACTCGAATACTGTATTATTCGGCAAATGCAAGACACGTGGCAAGAAACTAGTAACTTACAAATGGATCATGTTGTAACTTGTAGTATTGACTACTGATTGTGGTAGTGAATCCTTCTTTGATTTTTGTCACAACCTGTGTAATAATAGTTTCCAACTATTGTCCTGTAATTCTCAGGTCCCAAAGCCTATCAGCTTTTTCCAGGAGGCATATTCTGATGAAAAGGGTGTAAAGCAGATAATTCGTCTCATTTTATCCAAATTTGTTCGCCGACAGCCTGGACGATCAGATAATGATTGGACAAACATGTGGCTTGACTTGCAGTCTTTGCAAGAGAAAGCATTTAGCTTCATAGATCTTGAGTATGTCTTGATGGAGTTCTGCAGGGGATTGCTGAAAGCAGGAAAATTTTCACTTGCGAGGAATTATTTGAAAGGTGTGGGTTCAGTGTCGTTGGCAAATGATAAAGCAGAAAACCTTGTTATTCAAGCTGCCAGAGAATATTTCTTCTCAGCGTCTAGTCTTTCTAGTTCTGAAGTAAGTTCATTTAATCTAATACTAGCATAGGAGTGATTATATGATCTTTATATTAAAGTTGCAAAGACTGTAGAAGTCTCTACTCGTTGATGAGTTGTCTTGCTCAAAAGCTAAAACCTGCACCCTGAACTTGCTATTCATTCTGCCTGATGTTCCACTCTTCCAAAGGATATTGAAACAAGTCCTGATCTGAGACTTCTCTTACTGCTGATTGTGTGTATCATGTTCTAGTGAATTAGTGAAACAAATAAATCTCTTCTAATGTTGCCACTTCGGAAAAAAAAAACAGATCGCTTCTAACATTGTTCATTTTGCTAAAAAATGTGGCAGTAGCTTTTGGTGTATCTGGAGAGCATGTTGTTTCACTGACCGATATCAAAGAATTATTTAGAATCAACTTCTAGGGATATGGTTGTGCTAGAATCTGAAAATGTTATGGAGGTGCACTATATCCTTAGAAGTGATGTTTGGATTGAATGAAATTGATGGCACCTTTGATGGATACCTTTGCCTTTTTGTCTTTAATGAAACCTGTTTTTCCTTAATGACAACGAAGGACATGCTTGCTTGTTTTTGTCTTGTTACATGAGAGAAGGATGTTGTATTTGGTCTGCCAAACCTCAAATTTCGCACTCCCCTCCCCTGTAAAGCATTCAAAAGGGTGCTCTACTGTCTGTATTGACTTTAAGCATACTTGTTCAGACTAGATCTTCAACTAGTCAATAAACATGCAAGGGTCTGACTAAGTACCTTATTCCTTTTTAGTATGCCCTGTTCTGGTTATTTAAAAAAAGGCAAGTGTGTGGCTTAGTGGTCAATGTAGCGTATATTAACCTTGGAGACCAAGGTTCAAATTCTATCAGACTAGCAGAGACAAAAAAAACTAGATGATTTTTCCTATTTGACTAAGCTTTGTTGTGCAGAGTTACTTGGTAACTGTGTTGGTGGGAGGTAGCAGGTACCCGATGATATAGTCAAGGTGCACACAAGCTGGCCAAAATATTGTTGTTCTAATAAAAAATAAAGATGCATTCTTGATTTAGTTAAAGTGTGTCCAAAGTATGCTCCAGGAACTAATGCTTTTCACTGGTTGCACATATTCTTCGAAAGTAGTCCAATGTAAATTGAAATGACAATGTATTATGCTGCTGAATTCTGCAGATTTGGAAGGCTAAAGAATGCTTGAATATCCTTCCAACTAGCAGAAATGTGAGGGTGGAGGCTGATATAATTGATGCTGTAACTGTTAAACTTCCCAACCTTGGTGTCACCTTGTTGCCAATGCAATTCAGGCAAATTAAAGATCCGATGGAAATAGTTAGGTTGGTTGTTACAAGTCAAGGTGGAGCTTATCTGAATGTCGATGAGATTATTGAACTAGCCAAACTTCTTGGGTTAAGCTCGTACGACGACATATCAGCTGTACAAGAAGCTATTGCAAGAGAAGCTGCAGTAGTTGGAGATCTCCAACTGGCTTTTGATCTATGTCTTGTTTTGGCCAAAAAAGGGCATGGTTCGGTCTGGGACTTATGTGCAGCACTGGCAAGAGGTCCTGCCCTTGAGAACATGGATATTTCTTCCAGAAAACAGCTGTTAGGTTTTGCTTTGAGCCACTGTGATGGGGAATCAATTGCTGAGTTACTACATGCATGGAAAGATCTGGATATGCAAGATCAATGTGAATCTTTAATGGTGTTGACTGGGACAGAACCTGAAAATGCCTTAGTTCAGGACTCAACTATGTCCTATAAACCACCTTGTACGCCAGATAAAACAGACTTAAAGGAGTGTTCTGACCAGGAAGCACAACTTAAGCAGATTGAAAATGTACTCTTTCAGGTAGCCAAAGATGTACAGGTGGATGGTGATTGGACCATTCCGTCCATCTTGAGAGAAAATGGAAAACTATTGTCATTTGCTGCTGTGTATCTTCCATGGTTACTTGAACTGAGTCAAGAAGCAGAAAAGAATAAGAAATTCAAATCCAGCTTATTTTCAGGGAATCGATATGTCAGTCTAAGAGCACAGGCAGTGATGACTATCTTGTCCTGGTTGGCAAGGAATGGTTTTTCCCCAAAGGACAGTTTGATTTCCTGTGTTGCTAAGTCCATTATGGAGTCGCCTGTCTCTGAGGAGGAAGACATCCTAGGATGCTCTTTCTTATTAAATCTTGCCGATGCCTTTTCAGGGGTGGATATAATTGAAAGAAACTTGATAACAAGAGAGAATTACAATGAAATAACCAGCATAATGAATGTTGGGATGATCTACAGTTTGTTGCACAATTGTGGAATCAAGTGTGAGGACCCTGCACAAAGGAGGGACTTGCTTCTGACAAAGTTCCAGCAGAAACATAAACTGATCTGCTCAGGTGATTTTGTTAACTTTGACCTATAGATCTATTATTTTTTACTGTAGGTGGAGAACTTTCTGTTTTTTCTTGGCATGTTCATTTTTCTTATTGCTATCCAAATGTCGTCTTCTAATTCAGATGAAAAAGAACAAATAGACCAAGCACAATCTACATTTTGGAGAGAATGGAAACTGAAGCTAGAAGAGCAAAAGCGCAATGCAGACAGTTCAAGGAGCTTAGAACAAATTCTCCCTGGTGTTGAAGCTTCTCGCTTCTTATCTGGGGACATGGACTACAGAGAGAATGTTGTTTTATCATTTATCGAGTCCATGACCCCAGAGAAGAAACAGAGTGTGAAGGATGTACTGAAGTTGGCCAATACTTATAGCTTAGATTGCAACAAGGTATGCACTGTTCTTGAACATATTCGTAAATGAGATAATGAAATTACAAGTTCTAAGATGCTAGAGAACTAAGGGGTCACATTTGGTTTTGGGTATCAGCAAAAATAGTCAGTATAAAAACCTGTATTAGGTTCTTCAATGTCTGGTTACCATTTTCAATATAGATAATACTTAAATAGCTTATACGATAATTTCTGTATTATTTTATACAGGATGGAATAACTAGTACTTGGATTAACTAAACTGGGATAAACCATATATAAAGGCAAATACCTTGATGTTATTGTACTCATTTTTCCAGAGCACACTGTTCTTCTTCAGAGAAAAACATACTTCTGGAAAAAAGAACCAAAATAAAAAGGAAAATTGTGCTAAACTTAAGCTTAATCAACAGCTACCACATGCTAAAGTTGATTAAGCTAAAGTTGGATTATTTGATCTGACAATCAAAATACTCCATTCTTGGTTATCCAATGCCATGGTTAGTTTCAGTGTTTCACTGCAGACAAATGCATTGCCGCTTCACTTTCTTTCTTATTCACCGTACTTTTTGGCTTTTGCTGATCTATTTTTGAATAAAGATCTTAAAATGTAATTCATTACCCTTTTAATTTTAGCCATTTTTTTAGAATTAAAAATTAATTAAAGTCTTTTTATAGAATAATTTGTTTTACAGGACAATTTTATACAATAGGATATATGGAATATGGGAATTCTAGACCACTGGTGTTGATTGTCACTCCTGGTGCAATGCAGAATTATCTAACCATAAATGAAAGAAAAAAGTCATACAGAAGTACAAGGGTTAAATAGAAAACCAAATATTATACAATATTAAATCAAACGCAAGTTTTAAGTGATACATCATATAGGTTTAAAAAAAAAGCCATCCATCGTATATCCAACTTTCAATACAATAAGCCTAACAGTCGACAAAAGCTCCACATTATAAACCCTGCTTTATTAATCCCTGTATTACAAATTCCGCATAACTTACTGTTTCTCCCACTGCTCCTCTCTTATTTAGGTGCTGATGCATTATCTGAGATCTATCTTTGTTTCTGACACTTGGAGCACTGATGATGTTAGAAATGAAGTGTCAAATCACAGAGAAGAACTTCTTGCTTGTGCTGCAGAAACAATAAAATGTATTTCCTCGTCGATCTACCCCGCAGTTGATGGACATGATAAGCAGAGGCTTTCTCTAATATATGGCCTGCTCTCTGACTGCTACTTGCAGCAAGATGAACAAAAGGATCCAATACATCCTCATTCTATTCATATTGCTCGTTTTTCCAAGATTGCTGAAGAAGAATGTTTCAGTGTGTCCTGTATCGAGGATCTGAACTTCAAAAATGTTGCTGGAATTCAAGATTTGAACTTGGATTGCTTCAACAGTGAAATTTCTGCTCACATCAATGAAAACAATGTTGAGGCATTGGCAAACATGGTCAAGAACCTTCTTCGTGATGGTCCTGTGCCTGATGGTCTCTTGTCTTGGCAGCATGTATATAAACATCATGTTTTAAGTTTGTTGACAAAGTTGGAAGCTAAAGCTGAACCGGGGGTCGATATTCAAAGCTCTGAAAGTCTTCATTGCTTAATCAGTGAGATTGAGCAGACTTACAATACCTGCTGCAAATACTTAAAATTTGTCCCAAATCCTGCTCGTCTGGACATTCTGAAACGATTCTTGGCCATCATACTACCTGCTGAAGGATCTTTCAAGTCTCTTCCCTGTGGCTCAGGTTGGCAGGTGTGCCTTGCCATGCTTGTGGATACTTGGCTCAGAATGTTGAATGACATGCATGAAGTTGCAGTCCTTGAGAATTCAGAAGAAAGATTGTGCTTAGAATGTATAATGATGTGTCTGAAAGTTTTTGCACGTCTAGTTGCTGGGGAAAAAGTTTCATCTAGTCAGGGGTGGGCTACAGTTATTGACTATGTAGGCTATGTTCTTGTTGGTGATGTCGCTGCTGAAATGTTCAATTTCTTCAGAGCGATGGTTTATGCTGGTTGTGGCTTTGGAGCCGTTGCAGTTGTGTATGATGAAGTCATGACTCACTTCCCACATGAAGCTGGATCGCTGACCGACTTAAAAAAAGAAGCTGCCAGCATCCAGAATCTTCGATATCTCTATCTTAGTATCTTGAAGACCATCTTGCAGGAGTTGACTGACGAATCCTGTGAGCATCAGTGTCTACACTGTTACTTGTCATCTTTGAGTAAATTAGATGGTGACTTGGATAATCTGCAGAGTGTTAGACAGGCAGTTTGGGAGAGATTGGAAGAGTTCTCTGAGAACTTTCAGCTTCCCAACCATGTTCGAGTTTACATACTGGAGCTTATGCAACTTATTGCAGCTACTGATAAAAGCAGCAAAAGATTTTCGTCCAAGCTACAGGTGGAAGTTCATTCTTGGGAAGGTTGGGATAATACGCATAATGTAACTGCAAACTGTGAGAACACTGCCACTGATGGGATTTCAAATAAGATAGATACATCTAATAAGTTCACAAATACCTTGATTGCTCTAAAATCTACACAGCTGGTCTCCACTATTTCTCCCAACATAGAGATCAGACCAGAAGATCTTTCAACTGTGGAATCTACCGTGTCTTGCTTCCTTGGAGTATCTAAATTTGCTGAATCTGAATCCCATGTTGACGCATTATTAGCTATGCTCCGAGAATGGGAGGGGCACTTTAGTAGGGAAGAAATGGAAAAGGATTCTGGTGAGGTATCTGATGGTGGAAACAGTTGGGGTAATGATGATTGGGATGAGGGATGGGAAAGCTTCCAAGAACCGAATGAAGAAGAACCAAAGAAGGGTGCTAAACTTTCAGTTCATCCTCTTCATGTCTGTTGGATGGAGATATTCAGAAAACTACTAACTATATCCCAATACAACAAAATGTTGAAATTGCTAGACAAATCAGTGGCAAAGCCAGGCGAAGTATTACTAGACGAAGAGAGTGCTCAAGGTTTGAGCCAGATTGCAGTTGAAATAGATTGCTTTCTAGCCCTTAAGTTGATGCTCTTGTTGCCATACGAAGTAATGCAGTTGCAGTGCTTGGAATCTGTCGAGCAGAAGCTGAAACAAGAAGGCATATCTGACAAAATTGGCGTGGATCTTGAATTTTTACTTCTCATTTTATCTTCTGGAGTCATATCAACTATCATCACCAAATCTTCATATGGTACCACATTCTCTTATATTTGCTTTATGGTGGGGAACTTCTCTCGACAGTGCCAAGAGTCCCAGTTATCAAGTTCCGGATGTGGTGAATCTGCAGAAAGTGAGAGTATTTCAAAATATTATATTGATCTTTTCCCAAGACTGATCTTTCCCTGCTTCGTCTCGGAGCTTGTGAGGTCAGGGCAGCAGGTTTTAGCAGGATTTCTTGTTACCAAGCTTATGCATTCAAATCCTTCTCTTAGCTTAATCAACATAGCAGGTGCTTGTCTCACAAAGTATTTGGAGAGGCAAATACAACAACAACATGACAGCAACCCCTCCTTTAGAGATGGGGTGGGATCGTCTGAACCATTGGTAAATACGATATCCAGTTTGAGGGATAGGATGCAAAACCTGATCCAATCCTCACTAGCGTCGCTTTCGCATGATCATAGATGATTATAACATTTGAGTTTTCCCTTTTGTTTTTGTTCATATGCCAGTCATTGTTCTTTGAAATCTTTGTACAAACTCTGTAGCCAGAACATTTTAGCAATTTTGCTGGAGCGTAAATGGTGATATATTCAAAAGGGAATGATATTTGTATACCAAAACTCAAGTAACTCGAATTGCATCCCTTTGTACATAAATATTTGGGCAATGGATCTAGTTTCAGAACAAAAGGTTATCTGCAGATTGATGTCTTTAGTTTGTCGTTCCTCTACTCGGTTTACTAAAAAATTGAGTTGTCATAACAGGTGATGAGGGAATGAACTAGGATCGTTTAGTAACGTGTATAAGAACAGTGTTGAATATAGTACATTAATAATGCTTGTATTAATTAATGTTGAGATTATTTCTTATGTTGTATATGATTTGATGTATTAAAAAATAACACGGATTGCATAGTTTCTGTTTTAAAAAGTACACTCCACCAAAAAAATTCTTTTCAGAATGAGACTTCCAGAGAAATGTCAATTCCCATCTTTTTCTTCGTCTTCAGATACAAAGGACAAAATAAGTAGAAGCATCTTCCAAAGAACAAAAAGGTACTTTTATAGTACTAGTAAGTAGCAATAATTTTTAGTTGAATAATTATAAAAATTTGCCGAAACGAGAAGTCCACACATCCTATTGTTTACTTGTTAAAGTTAGCAACACCATATATATCATGTTTTATATAAAAGATGATGAGAAATTCTTAATATTTGATGAAAGCAATTCATGATATTGATGAAAGAAAACATTATATAGCGGGATTAAGTGATTAAGAGTCATGATGTTTTAGATTTAAATATTAATGGAGATAAAAGTATCAGGTGATACTTTCTATTTGTTTTAGTTTTGATGATCGAAGTTACCGATTATGGCTAATGGAAGGCGGATCTCCTATTAAGTTAGTTGGAATGCACAAAAACTGACTCAAACACAATGATCATTAAAAAAAAAAACATCAAGACGAACTTACAATATCAATCATAAAACAATTCTGTTAGTTCTTTAAATTTTGTTTCGCGTATAACTCCAACATAGACTAAAAAAGAAAAGAAAAGAAATATTAAAAATACTTTTAAATTCGATACTGATTATTAGTTTTATCGTTAAATTAACAACCTTAAAAATAATCATTTACTTGACTAACTGAAATTACATACACATACCAAAATTCTCACCCAGTTTAGAAGGATTTTAAATACTTTTCTAAAAAAATATTAACAATTTCATCCTACTATAAAATTTTAAGATCACTTACAATATTATATGACAGATATTTTTAAATTATATAATATAGAAACGAAACAAATAATTTATGATAAATTGACAAGTAAAAGTTGCAAGCAACGTATATATTATACTTGACAAGGTACAAAAATAAATAATTTGGACATGACAAAATATCCAGCACATCAAAAAGAAACAAAAAGGTGAAACAGTAAAGAGCACTCTACAAAACTGAACCAAGTTAATCTCATCCATTTTCTCAAGTCTCTTCACCCACAAAACTCTGATGGACAAGTTGCCACCTGAACTTTTTCTGAGAATTTTCTGTCTCTTGGATCGCCACAATCTTGCAACTGCACAATTGGGTTAGTTTTTTTTGTTTTTTTTACTATTTATTCTGATGATTCAGTTATCATATAACAAATTTGTAGTTTATATGAAGGGTTTTTTGTTCTTTTAACACTTGGGTATTTTTTCAATTATGCATTTTTTTGACTGAATTTAGCATTAAGATTGGATCGCTCTCTGTTTTGACAAGAAAAGTCAAAGTTTCATTCTTTTCTCCATGCAAATTAGTGAATGGGTTTTCAAGAATTGGGCTTTGATTGAGAATTATGCATTACTTGACGATTTCGAAATGAAATTGGTATTAAAAGATTAGATCTCTGTCAAAGTTGCGTTTGTTTGTTTTTTTCATGCAAATGATTGAATTGTTTCCAAGAGTTAGGGAATTGTTGTATTTTGGTTTGATTGATGAAAAATTGATGTTTTTTGTTTGTTTGGAAGTTTGCAGAAGATGGAAAATGTTGGGTTCAGATAACAGTTTATGGTGTGATCTGTTTATAGAGAGATGGGGATCAGATCAAGCCACTTTTTATGCCCCTTCAGATTCCAAATCATGGAAACATGTCTATATGGTTCAAGATCGTTGCGATCGGAATGGATTGTAAGCTTAAATTTTCCATAGTTCAACACATTATACATGTTTTTAGTTTTTGCATTACAAACATAATACTCGGAAACAACCTCTCTACCTTTGAGGTAGGGGGTAAGATCTGTGTACGTTCTACCTTCCCCAGATCCCATCTTGTGGGACTACACTTGGTAGGTTGTTGTAGTATTAGAAACATAGTACTCGGGAACAACCTCTCTACCTTTACCTCACTCTACCCTCCCTGGAGCCTGCTTTGTGGGACTACCCCGGGTATGTTGTTGTATTAGAAACATAGTACTAACATTGTACATGGGATGTTTCTTCAGGGGATTGAAAATTATAAGAGAAGGAGATGACTACTATCTTATACACCAGGGTGAAATTCAGAGACATTTAGGTTCAAGAAAATCGAAAATGGAAGATTTATCTGTTTCATCAGCTGACTATAAAGATGTCAAAGAGGAGGTACCAAGTTTAAGCATCTTGGACAAGATACTTTTCTTCATTGGGGACTTGGAATCTGCTTCTGTCCAGGCTAAACGAAGCCGACTGGTGTAAAGAACTTTTCTTTTTTTTTGAACAACGGTAGTATCCTGATCAGTTTTTACGTACACCTCAATTGTTTTGGATGGCACAACTCCGCTCACCAAAGCTTAGGCAAATGTGAAGAAATTAGCTAACATTTTTTTGTTTGTATCTTGTTGTAATTGTTAGTTTTATGTAATAATAAATGTTTCAATATACTTTCATGTTTGTATGCAATTTGATGTATTCATTTAATCTTTGATAGTGATTTTAAGCCCAGGTATCCAAATAGTTGTGTGTAATGTTTTTCTCTGTTTTGTATGAATTTGAACTTGTGAATGTTGACTGTTATATGAAGTTCAACCTAGATTTTGTTCTACAATAGTTTTGAGTGCTGCAGCAATGAGTATGGCAAATGTACCTTTGAACTTACTAGAGTGCATCAATCTCTTGAATCTACTATATATCTTTCTACCTATCATTTTCTCTGAGATGAAGATTGTAAGTTCTTTGCCGTTATTGAGTTTTAAATTAATAATTGTTCAAATTGTATAGATCTATAAAGACAAATATTGGCTTTGGACTAAAACTATCGAATTTGGCTGAACCCATAAGATACATTCTAGTAATTCTTTTTCCTTGTCAACGGTAAGCCAAGTGAGGGGGCTAACGCATCAATTATCATCTTGTGCCAGTGGCAGGAAACCCTGTTCACATATATGCAATGTCTACGCTGAGATTTGAACCTCGATTTCCCATGATTCTGGACCTACCTAGGTGTTGCCTAAATACATGGCCAAGAAAAACCAAAAGGGGTCGAAAATAATCATAAAATAAAAAAACGCAACAAACTCATTTCTGCCATTTGCATGACATCTCAATCACATCCCAAGAATTGCATCTTTGCTAGAAAAGAATTGACTTGTATTTTTTCACTATTACATTGGGGAGATAAATTGTCAAAGAGATGAAGAAAACTATGACATAAATATAGGCCTCCGTCAACAATTGAACCAAGGCCAAGAAAAACAGGGGGGAAATCAGAGCAACTAATATAACTATCCCAGCAGCATGAAAATAGGGGAAGACGTTGATTCGTCATCTACCAACAACTACCAGGGAATGATAATAACACCACTAGCTCATATGCCTCTTCCTTATCTGCTAGGCAGGAACAGCTCCATTTTTTAATCACACCGTCATTGCTCTTCAGATATTGTAAGCTCAACTAATATTAAACCCGGATGGCTGATTATGGTAATAAATAGACGTTTTCAGACAAATTTCCAGAGGATATTTGACTGCTCACCTTGATTAACTCAAATCAAGGTGCATTCAATGGATCAGCCTCAGTGTCCCTTTCCTTCATTGCTGTCCAATCTTCTGCTTCTGCAATCAGAAATATTGAGTCAGTATAGTTCACCAAATAGAGCAAACGAAAAGGTGACACGACTGTAATAATAATCAAGTATAGTTCATGTGGGAGCAGTGATCTGGAGAATCCGGTACATACTTGGCTTGTCTGCAATGGCTGCAAGCCGTCTTTGCAAAATGGATGCAACAAAGAGGAAAATTGAACACATGCCAAACATCACAGTGATGGGGAAAGCATTGACCTACAAATTGACAAAAAAACATCCATAATGAGAACTCTATGTGAAACATGAATCATATGTTGCAGCAGAATAATTACTTGAGTAATTAAATGTAAGAAAAGGAACATCTGCACAAAAGTTACTTGGAGCTAAAGAACAATTACATACATTGTAAAGTACAATGCAGACGAACAGGTTGAGGGGAATCCTGAAGAAGTTCATTATGGTGCTCCTTGCTTCCTCAGGAATGTACTGAGACCTCATCTTCATGATGGACGGCCAGAAGATGCCAACACATGACTCGAAGGCACAGAAGCCAAGAAGCTGGATACTTCCAGCAAAGGTGATGCCTCCCCCTTTCACATTTGAAGGAGGTACCAAGAACTGATCCAATGAAAGACATTAAACAACTTCCAAACCACAAGGCATAAAATTCTAAAAGTAAAGTTGTATCCTACTTACAGTTGTCAGAATGGGAAGCATGAGAGCTGCAGAAGATACGACAAAAACAATCTGCATGTAGCTCTCAACTTTAGGTGAGTTCTTTGCCATAAGACGAGCTGCAAATGAGCTTCCCAACATTGAAGCCAACATGAAAGTTGCAAAAATAAAGCCATGGGGAATGTCTTCATCATTTGGGCTGAGGGCAGGCGTCCAGAGAAACACAAATGTATACATGGAACCTTCAAATAGAGATTGTATAGCACCGAGCAATGCAATCTTCTCATCTGTCACAAAACCATCCAGAAATAAGCACAGTGTAGAAGTAAATGAAACAAACAAAACAAAGAACGGATCTGACACGGTGCAAGACAAAGCTTGAATAAGGAAGACTTTTTTCAACCAAACATCAGTTGAGTTATCAAACAGATATATCACAAAAGAATGCAGTATCAGGAGAACGGGGCAAGAGGCAAG